ACTTCAATAAATTAAATCCTTTCTTAATTGTATTGTTCCTTTTTTACATGTAATGTTATCCAAAGCAGTTTCACTGGTAAACAAGGAAATATCCTCCAATACCCTTCTCCAAGTAATTTATATGTAAATAATAAAAAGAGGTCCAACACTGTTCCCTGCAGCACTCACCAATTAATCTCCTTTTAGCTTTTTACTGCTACCCTTTGTTTCCTGCCCTTTAGCCAATTTCCAGAATACTCTGCCAACTTTCCATTTACTTCATGGCTCTGTGTCTTTCATATTAACCTGTGATGTAGAACATTTTCTCAAAAGCTTTCTGCAAATTCCAAGTACTCTGTAAGACCATCTACTGCATTTTTCTTTTATTCCCTGGCAGTTCAAAGCTTTAAAAGAATCCCAGGTTGGTGAGATATAACCTTTGTATTCTGAAACCACCTTGACTTTATTTAATCAAACTGTACTTCTCTAAGTATGTGGCCTATTTGTTCCTTTAAATGCCACAGTTCCTAAAGCTCTCTCTTAAACACTGATTTGAATCTAAGGTGCCCTGCAGTTTTATTCTGCATATCTATGAAGTCTTCAGGAAGATCTTCACATAGGCTTTATGAGAATATGGTTGCCTTCTCCATTTCTTGGATAGTCAGTCTGACGTGTGGCCAGCTGTCATAATTATAAACAGAAGTCAAATTTTGCTATCAAATGTGCCTTTTCCATTGAATAGCTAAGTAGCCACTATCTAGTTCTTCAGAGGATGGTGCATATACATATGCAAATATGCACACACCACCACCCATACCCACAGCAAACAGTGAATAAAGCCAATGAGGGGAAAAGAAAAATAGTCTTTCCTCGCTGCAGATGACCAGCAGAAGCCCTAAACCAGGGGTTTTCAACCTTTTTTAACAAGTGTACCCCTTCTGCCTCAATGTTTCAGTTCATGTACCCTTTTATATTTTTTCTCATTTATAAGGGGTGGGGGGCAGATCAAGGCCTCCATGGTGAGGGAGGGAGAAGGGCTGGGGCAGGGGCAGGTGCTGCACAGCTGGGATGACATGCAGGACAGCTCCGCAAGAGCGGTTCTTCCAGGGGCGCACGGGGGAGGGGGCAGCTCACACCGCTGCGTGCACCCTGCCAGAGGTCCAAGAGGAACGTGTCTCCCAAATCTGTGCATGGGGTGGAGACAGCTGCCGCTGCAAGCTGGATTCTGCACCCCACTCCACTACCCCAAGAGTCATGTGACACCACATGCCTGCCACTACTGGGAAGGCAGGGGACAGACGCAGGCAGATGCAGCCACGCAGACAACCACAGATGCAGATGCAGACACCCTCCCTCCCATTAGGTAAGTGTGTGTGGTGGGGAAGGGCCAGGAAAGGGCTGAGGGGGCCAGATCAGGAATGGTAAGGGGGTGAGAAGTGCACCTCTGTGCCCACTCCCAGGAGCAGGGCCAGGGGGGCAAGGGCAGTGGCACCCCTCTGAGAGCCACACACGTGCCACCCGGCCAGCTGGCCAGGGGCGGGGGGGGCTTGCACATGGTGGCCACCGCTGTCACCACCACCCACCGCCCCACACTGCCGCTGCTGCACCCATGCCGCTTTCCTACAGTTCATTGCAAGTGTAGCTCTGCCGGCTGCTGACTGGCCTTGTGCCTGGCCAATTGTGAGCCGCCTGTGCAATAGGTCATAGGAAAGTGGCACGAATGCGAGGTGGTGGCAACTGCGGCAGCCACCACATGCAAAGCCCCACCCTCCCCACCCCACTGGCTGGGCAGTGCCTATGCAGCCCGCAGAGGGGCACTGCTGCCATCACCCCCCAGCCCTGCTTCTGAGAGTGAGCACAGACACCAAGTTGAGATGAGGGGTGGGGAGGCACTGCAGTGTGCTGTGTGGGGCTGGCAGCACCCAGCGCGTCCCTCCCCTGGGCAAAAAGCAAACTATGGCAATGTTCCAGGGGAGATGCCGTCACTGCGCCCCAGGGCACGCTCCATCCCCACCTGCCTGCATGTACCCCCTATGGCCTAAGTACCCCCTATGGCCTAAGTACCCCAGTTGACAACTCCTGCCCTAAACTACTGGATTACCAGATACCTCTTCCATAAAAAACAACCTTAACATGGGGACAGCAAATATTTGAATCCACATATCATGTCCTGTTTATTGATCCAATCAATTTCTTCTTCCCTAAAACGGAGTTCCATTTTGGAGTCATTCAGGTGCTTTGACCCCCTACTTTGTTCAGAAGAGTATCTTTATATAAGAATTCAAAATCTACAGATGAAGTGCTATGTAAAAGGACAAGTATTATTACTGCTATATCCTCCTAATTTATTTCCAAATGATGAGTTTCGCAGTTTACAGAACAAGATGTTGCTTTAGAACAGGTTTTATGTGAGGGCATATCTACACAAATGCAAAGCTGACCCTGAGGTCATCCCTAACCAGCCTACTTTGAGTGTGTCTCTATTTACAGGCAATAGAGAAAGGAAGTGGCATCAGAAGGCAGGAAGCCAGGAACAGGAAACGGGGGGGTGGGGTGCAGATTTGTTTTAATGAGAGCAGCTCCAGGACACCTACTCTAATTAAAAAGCCACAGCATCACATGTATTCAGCATCCTGCATTTCAAAATGGCCACAGGTGCTTTAACTAAAGCTCATTCAGAGAGTTTTAGTTAAAGTACCCCAGTACCATTTTGAAATGTGGGATGCTAAATACACGTGACACTGCAGCATGCTAGAGCTCCAGCAAACTTATTCTAATTAGAACTCATCAGCGCACATGTACGGGCACCCTGTGAAACTACCGCAGGAAGATCCCTGCACTTATGGGCAGTATGGTGTGGTCACACTCCAAACACACTGCAGAAAGAGGCGAGGCATGTGGGGAAGGGTGATAGAGTTGACCTCATACAACATACATGGGTGACAAGCGTTCAGTGCTGCTAGGGGTTAAGGAGAGGGTTTTATAATACAGATGCTGGGTAGTTATGAACTTGAGCACAACTTAGTCAGAATTTTGGGGGGCCATGTGTTTTTTCATGGAATACCTTACATTTTTATTCTGTTTCCTCCTACTGACACCAATTATATTTCTCCTGGATTTAGTGTTAAAGAGACTATGGACACAAGGCCATTTTTTCTTTTAATTTCATAACGCATTTAGAGATTGTGAAATATGGATAGAGTATGACTTGTGAGTGTCCCGTGCTGGAATTCAAACCTAAATCAGAGGAAAGCCTACAGGATGCAGTGTATTTACACATATGCATATAGAACAAATGCTACTGCAGTGATTGGCAAGGTCGATCCTGCTGAGACACTCTACTACAACTACAGCTACAGCACAGACAGCAAGAGCCAGGTCTCAGAGTGCCAGAAAAGAAGAGAGAGAATTGCATCATTATACTGGCACTGAACATATCCATCACAGCAATGAGGGCAGAAGTGCTGATTGCCTGGCTTAGAATAGCAGAGCTTGATCCAAAGTGAGAAACAGTTTATTCTGAGAGAGGGAGAGAGAGGGAAATAATATGGAGAAGAGTGAATGATGAAGGGGACTCATTTATTTATTTATTTTTATTTCAAGTGTACAGAATCACTTTGTAGATGGTCTTTAAACATCAGGTGACTTGTATGTCCACTGAATGTATCTGTTTGCTTTTTTAGCAGCAGCAACACTTTCAGCATATTTGCTCTCACTCTCAGGCTATCATTATTAGGGCATTTTTCATCACTGAAGTAAGCAACTATCAAAAACAGATTGTTGAATCTTGGCAATTGTTGAGAGTTTACTGGCAGCCACTGGAGGGGAGAGAAATCTCAGAATCTGGCCCCTGGTAATTTAGCCTTGTATCTGTCCTCAGTAGGTTCCTCTCTTAGTTCTTGTTGGCTCACTGCTTCTGCTTTCTATTTTAAACTAAATGTTTAGGACCTATTCCTTATATGTGAACAATATAGGAAGGCTTATACAAAGAGGTGAGTTTTACATCATGCTCTGAAGGCAGATGCACAACCCAAACACAACCAATGCACATCAGGATCTATACTGGGTGCAAAAAGGGAAGGTGCAGTTCCCTACACCTGGGTAACTTTTCCCAGGATGGGAAAACATAACTGATGGAAATTACACCATCTTGTGTGTCATATATTCCCTCCTCTCCAGGGCAGCTGCTTGTTCAAGGCAAACAGGCATTATCTTGTTCTGCTATGCAGTGGCAAGATGCAGCAGTAGCAACCTATACTGGGACAGAGGATAAGAAGGTGTCAGGGCCATGACAGAGATATGTAGAACCCACCACTAGGTGAAACAGGCCACGTCCACATGAGATGCTTTACTGCAGAGCTGACTAATTAGCTCCGCAGTAAAGCATCACCATCTACAAGTGTGGCGCTATAAGGCCACACTTAATTCTGCCGTAGGATACTACTGCATCACAAGTACTATCCTATAGTGGCACAATTATGTGCAGCAAAACACAGTGATGGATCTGGCTGATACATGAAAGCACGGCAGTGCAGGAGCTGCCTGCCGGCTAGCCCCACACTATAGCACCCTCATGCCCCAATCAGCCCCTCCACAGCACACTGAGCAGGTCAGAGCATCCCCAGGCTGGCAGGCTGACCCCCCCGGAGCTCTCTGCCAGCCGGGGCTGCTGTGCTCCAGCTCAGCATGTTGTGGTCCCAGGAGCATGTGCAAATACTGCACTGTACCTGGGAGCAGTAAACTCCACCACAAACTGTGCTGAAGTGTACTGCTACATCCTAATTGTACGTATAGACACATCCACAAAGTGGGAACGGTAATTACATTATTATTTACTGTACAGTACTACCCCTATTGTTTCTTCCTCTTCTTCTTGGGATGCATACAGCTTTCATGTGATAAGGCCAACACTTCAGATAATGCCAAGAGTGGAAGAACATTTGGGATGCACAAACTGCACTTAGTTGAATTTATTTTCTCTCTCTCCCATAAATCATATATCAAGGACAAGGATGCTTTACCTCAGGAGATGAAGACAGAAAGGGTTTGATGTAGATATTGGAGTCGTGCACCTTTAGGTCATGGTCTCCAAGTCCTCTAGTTACCCCAATAGTTGCCATAACTCGAGCCTGGAAATGAGAGAAATGCATTAGTATAAAAATGCTCTCAATATACAACATTAGAGTGGGAGAGAAAAGAAAGTGACTCTCCTACATAACAGTTAGGAGCTTAGAAGAATTATCTTCCTTCCTTCCTTCTTTTTCACTTTCTTCTTCCCCAGATTGGGAAATTAACTGGAACACCACAGTGACCTTCAAACTTTTGAGTCTCCTAACTTCCCCATTTGCCTGTTTATTCTGTGCTATGTATTGGCTAAACCTTAGATTGTGATCTCTCTAGGGTCCTAATCGGTCTCCGAAGTGCTCAGATTCTGCTAGCAAGCTAAATAATATTAAATTGTATCAGACATCAAGAAGTTTAGTCAATAATCACTCCATTACCTGAATATATAAATAGCTATTTCTTAGAGTGATGTTATTTCCTATCACACTGACTGCCTGGAAAGAGGGCAGTTGCTGAGGGGACACTGAAAGGAAGGCTTTAAAAACAAAGACAAGTTATCAAAATGAAGATGTCTTAATAGTGCATCTGCTCCTGCTTCTCAAGGAAACAACATACTTCTTTACACTGGAGTGCTGTCACATGTGCCCTTTGGCAAGCCAGGAACCAAAAGGACAAATTCAAGTTACTGACACAACAACACAAAAGGATGTTCTTGAGAACAACAAAGGTTTTGGAGATGAATCTTACCAAAACTTCCTCTCTCCCACCTCGACCAGAGAATCAATATAAGAGATGATCTTCAGTGGCCTCTCTCCCCCCACTCCCCAGTCCTGCTTTGCTAGATTAATTTTCCTGCAGGACACCAACCACACCCCCAAGAAATTTTCTTTCCCAACTACCCACCTGTTATACCTCTAAGCTCCCCCGGTTAGGGGAGGTGTTGGGACTGCCTCATTCTACTGATGCCAGCTAGCCACCCTGCTGACTCAAAATAGCATTGCATAGTAAAACACTAAATCCACAAACAAAGAGGAAAAAAAATGAAAAAGCGACATATGCAAAAATACTGCAAAAAACAAAAAGAAAAAAAAATCCAAATTAACCATCCAGGTTATGGTCTGAATCCTCCATAAACAGAGCAGTTCTGTAGATTGCATATTGTTGTATTCAAATAAGAACCCAATGAGTGGAGAAGTTCTGTTTAGAAACACAGCAAGCATACCAGTGTCAGCAAACAGACCTCCATGCCCTTCTATTGATCCTATTGCTGTGTCTAGCTAAGCTTGCTGGAATCAGCACTAATAATCTTGCTATTCATAATTATGCAACTGGAGACACTGACACTCAGAGAGCATTACCATTTTTGTTTTACACAAGCATTTTTGCAGACAGATCGCATGTTGTGTTCTTGTGAAAGCAATCTAAGACAATACCCTTCAGGAGGTATCACATTGACCGCGTACCCTCTTCCCCTCCTTAAGTTAGGATTTCAGTGCACTGCAAAACATGGTTTAACACCCTCCCACACACTATTTATTTGGAAAACACGATGCATTTTGTCTTCTTTGCCCAGCTGATCCACTTTCTACAACCAAACCCAGAAAAACTCCATGTATAATCAGTCTTTTGACTGAGAGGCTCTGGCCTAATTATTTACAACAGTACAAAATAATCTGTTTACAAAGCTGGGTGTAAGGAAACAAAATCAAATTGAGCAGAAAATGACTAAGTTTATTATAAAACTGCTTTTTAATACACCGCACTCCCCCTCTAACACTGACAGCAGAGACTGATTTGTGACAGACGCAATATTCTTTCAAGCTGTCAAAACGATAAAATAAAGAGATACTGAGTGGAAAACACTGAACTGCCACAGGCTAAACTGAGTGGTAAACAGCATTGCATTCTTTATCCCTTCAGTTAGACGAAAGCACACATGCCCACCTTCTTGCCTTCTCCATATATAAGAGGAAACTTCAAGTCATCTTCCTCAATGGTCTTGTATGCCCTGTGGGGGGGATAAACAACATTTTTTTAAAGCTTGCACCCAATTAGTGACCCAATGCCCTGACACAAACAGCTGTGTTTCTTTTTATTATTATTTTTTCCAGAGACTCCATCTTTGCATCAAGCTGTCAATTTGCTTTTTTCCCCATAGAGACATTTGTCCCTACAGAATTGTGCTATTTGACCAAAAGAAAAGCGAATGTAAAAAACAAAGTATTTACCAAGCCAATCTTGTTTCTATTAAGAAAGTCAATTGGAACAACATCCTAATTAGGCACATGTACTGACATAGCTGATATATTATTGGTTATTTCATTAACCATATAAGAATAAATACAGTGCCATACAAAGCAATCATTGGATTCAAATGATTAATCTGAAACTGAGAAAGAACAGAGTTTGTGGAGGGCTGATGTGTGAAGCAGCTCCTGTTCTCACCTTCACAAGCTGTTTATACCAAAGCAAGGTCTGCATTGTGAAGAGTTTCAGAAGGATATTTAGTGCTCACTTGACCTTGGCTGTACCACTGAAGGTTGCCAGAAACTGTTTCACAATAGCTCTGAAATTGCTGAGATGAGAAGGTGGGCTTAGGCCCTGCTTGTGTTTTTGCATGTCTGCATATACTACCTTTTACACACCTGATTTTTGACACTGATGGGGTAAAAAGGTAACACAAGGCTTTAGCTTAAGACTATTTTGCACTGCACAACTTGCATGCAGGACAGGGTGATAGGGCACTACCAGGGTGTGGGCATATAGTCCCCAAAAGACAGTAGGTTGCACCTCCCCCTCCTGTTTTTACACACACAAATGTCTGTCCCCTCTCCAGTTTGCTGTTTCCTCCCCTCCCCAATGACCCTTTGGGTAATATGACAGTCATCACCTGAGAGAACAAATCAGTATTCATCACTGAACTGGAATGGACAAGTGTGAGAAGGGAATGCACAGCAGTGCACCCTCTTGTCAGGTTCAGCCAGAGCCTCAACACCTGATGTTCAGCTCGGGAGCGGGACTGGCTGTTTGAACACATGGGAATCAAATTCAATTAGGTTTAAACAACATTAAGGTTGTGACACAAACCAGCAGAAGCCAGGAAATTAAAAATTAAGGCTGCAATCCTATATTGAAACCCAGCTGTAATTCAACTCCCCCTGCCTCACTGAAATATTGCAAAGAACTGGGATCAATGCACAGTCTTGCACTGCATACTTTATGTGCTGCATTACCTGGGCACAACGTTGTAAGTCATGATTAAGAGGCAGCAATACAGGCATGAAATTTAAGCCTTATCTTGAAATTTCTTTGCATTGTCAGATAGGGTCAAAAATCAGCATTTTTAATTGGCTTGTGTCTCATAAAGTAAAAATATTTTAATTAAAAAAAAACAAACAGTTGTCTATTAGTTATCTTGTACACCGAAATGCAGCTCCGAAAGCAGATGAAGTCTACTGTACAAGAAAAGCCTCCATATTCTGAGGCAAATAGCTTCTATAGTTGCAGGATGCATTTATACTACAGACAAAGAAAAAAGCCCATATGGTTTGCAACTGGGAGTTGCAACTTAGGTAGGTAGCACAACTGAATTGTTGTTATGCTTTGAGCAGAAGTTAATATATACCTGAAGGATGATTTCTTGGAATGACTGCCTTCTACCTTCGAGGAAAAAAATAACTGTTCATTAAAAAATTAGTCTGTTTGCATCTCAAATAAGCAAAAACTGTGATTTCTTTTATGACACATACCAAATCATCTTAGCATATCAAGCCAAACAGAAAAAAATGCTAGTTGCTTGATGGCTGTAATAAAGTATGTTGTGCAGAACACAGACTCATCACTGGGAGTCACTGGCCACAGACAGGATCTCTCAAAGGAAAAGCATAAAGGACCAAGGCTGCCACTCTACAAAGATATGACTGGCGGACTTCCTCTTGGGAGTAGGGTTACCACATTGGAATACATCAACAGAGGGGCTTGAAGAGGAGGTATACGGAAGCACGAAAGGGAAAACTGATATGAAATTATAGTGGAAACACGCTATGAAGGGTTCCTCAGTGGATACTGTAGAGACAACTTCCAAGTAGCATCTTCTTGTGGGGGATCAGAAGCAGATCCAGATCTATGGGGAAAAATGGACTCTGAACATGGAGCAGAATGTAGGTGGGTTCCCCAAGAAAGGATGCGAGTCATAAGTGTCCTTCTTGCTGCCTCCCTTGTTCTCATCAAAACGACTAAAGCCTTTTCACCAAGCCTTTTCTGTCTCCTTCACCAATTCACCTTTCCTGGCTGCTATGCTGAAGGTAAACTGCACCACCCTCAACTGGACCTATGATGCAGAGAGCCCTGATGAAACATCCCCAACCATGGGGAGGTTGAGGCAGTCGTACTCTGATCCTAGGCAAAAAAGGACTTAATTTGATTCCATATTATGTGGTTCTAAATGACCCTAGAAAATCATAATCTAGTTTTTATGCCTTCAGGGACAGCACAAGAGACACCATTAGTACTTAAAGAAGAAAACTAATCAACTTTGTTTAAATCTTTTTCAGAAATGTTCCCTCACACCCAGCTTCCCAAGACAGCCAGCATGACTGGCACAATGTTTTATGGGGTCTCTGATGACAGAAGAGGCCAAGTTGGAAGTGGTGAAGCAAATTTGCTTCATTCAAAGATCAGGAAAGGAAAATGGCTGCTTTGTGACCCTGAGGGGAGCAACTAAGAGTTTGAGACCCAAGAGGCTCAGGTTATTTGTTTTGTAGTGTCTCAAAATGTGGGCATCAAGACTCATCTCAAGCGTGTTTTTGTTGATGTTATTGCTGAAACAATCCCTCACCTCTTAAAAAAAAGTGGTTAGAATTTTAACCTTCACAGTAGAAATGGCACTCATATACTGAGAAGCAACATGAGACTGTCTTGACAAGTACCTAAGTCCTACACCACTAGCCAAACAGAATTAATAATATATGAGTATGTGGTTTCCTGCAGGAGAATGATAAAGGACAGTTTTTCAGCTAGCAACTCAGCGATTCCATTGGGGAAAAGGAAGGAAGCTGTGAAGTTCCTACTGTGCAAAACCTCCTGTACTTTGTGCATATGTATATTTCACCCAAGCTACAACCTTCTGGACTATTTCACTTGACTTCACATAATAAAATTGCATTTATGCCTACCTGTGTTGTATATACAGCACAATCTCTATAAACAGATCCTATATTGTGATAGGTATAAACACATACATGCCCAGAAGTGAAGGAACCTCTTGGTTTATAAAAGCTGCTAGCATAATCCTTCTTCAAGACAAGCAGGCAATTCAACTTAGCCCCTCTGATAACAAAACAATATGCAGAGTTTAGTTACAGCCGTTCGGTTTCTGCATTATTTTCTGATCAGTGCTCCAGAAAGACTCAAAGACCATCAGAGCATGACAAAAGAGATAGTAAAAATGAAATTGTAATATTGCTTACTGCTCTGAGCCCCTTTAAATCCTGTCAATGCCCCCATCACATTAAAATGTTTTCGAAAAAGAAAAGCAAAAAGGGAGGGGAGAATGGTGGTATGAATGCAGATGGGGCTAGCTGCCTTTTATTTTACTTGATTTCTTGGGGGTTTTTTTTTTTTTTTTTTAAATACGATTGCAAAAGACTGTGGCAATCCAAAAGTACTCAGTAAAAGCTCAACATATGTACCACCCACAAAGTTACATTTGGATTCAGTATCAACATTTTGGAAAAACAGGGCCAACCTGCATCAGGAGCCAAAAGCAGTGCCAGAACTAAAAGGAACCAGGACCTAGATGATGTTACTCGCATGCTAACTGGAATCTGTTTTAAGCACACTGCAAAAATCAGCAAGAAATTGTTCAATATCATGAACCCAGTAGTCTATGGACCAAATTTCCTCTGTACTGATAATGATGCTGCAAAGCAAGGTTTAAATCTAGAAGTTTCTTTTCAGGCAGCTTTTATTCTATTTCATGCATAAAGTCCAAGATTAAAAAAACAATCAAACAGGAGCCTGCAGCTCAGACACTACGTCCACAATGAAAAACCCTGATTTTCAAAATTGCTGAGGTCAAGAGCTCCTGCTAAGGTAAATAGGGGGCTTGGAGTGCTGAATTCTGAACAACGGTTACCGTATTTACTTGATTCTAAAGATGAAGTTTTCTTCCCCATTTAACATGGGGGGGGAAGCCCCTCATCTCAGAATCAAGTATGAGGGCAATGGGGGGAGGGGGGCGGGTGTTGGGAGCAGGGGGCTACTATAGTTTGGGCTTCAGACCCTACCCAGGGTTAGGGATGTACCTTTAGCTGCTGCCTGTTGTCCCTGTCCCATCCCCCACCCCTCCGCTGCTGCCTCTGCACCCTGCCCTCTCCCCCTGCAGCTTCTTCCCCCGCCACCCCCACCAGCAGGCTCCATTCATGGTATAGCCTTGGGCACTGAGCACAGCCCCAGCCCAGTCCTGTAGCATGGCTGCTGTGGGGGATAGAATCGGGACAGAACCTGCCAGCATGGAGCAATGGTAAGAGGGGTGGGGAACAGAGGCCGGGTGGGAGAGTGGGGAAGGGAGAGAGGACCCCAAAGGTAGTGGGGGAGCAGAGGCTATGGAGGAAGAGTGTGGGGGAAGCAGAACATGAGAGGGGAAGGGGCAGAAAGGGGAGCAGAGGTGGAAGGCAAAGGGGGGACCTGAGGCTGTGGGGAGACAAGCAGGGGGCAGGCTGCTTGACCCTCCCCCCCCACATACTGCCAGCCCCCCTGCAGCAGTCTAGAGGGATGAACTAAAGATGACCTTCCAATAATTAGACTCTATATGTGTGAAATTATAACAAATTTATAAATATTCCATTTATAGAATCTAATTATAGTGCGAGTCATCTTAAATTCAGATTCGTCTTGGATTCAAGTAAATATCGCAGATGGCTAAATATGGATGCAACAGCCCAAAACCTAGAATGTTTGTTAGTTTTCTAAAATTTTCTTCTACGTACGTGTTTAAAAATTTGCACT